GTGGAACTGCAGTGAGGTCTCCCTTCAGTCTCCTCAAGTGCCCTCAGTGCCCTCACACGGCTTCAAATCAAGGCCCTTCCCCATCTTCATTGCCCTCCTTTGGACACTCTCTAATGGCTTCATAATTTTCTGTGTCCCCCCAAACTGCCCCAGTTTTGCAGGTGAGGCCACCCCAGGGCAGAGCAGAGCAGGACAATCACGCTCACAAAGTGCTGGTCACCTCCACACCCCTCGTGGGGGAGAAGCTGGGGGCACCCAGAGGGTGTGTCTGGGTCTGGAGACAGGACAGGGACGTGAGTGGAGGTGAAGATGGTCAGGAAGGTCACAGGGGTTGAAGGCTCTGAGCTGCTGATAGGATTTGACACTCGTGGGTTTGCTGTACCAGGTGGGGAAGCTGGAAAAGTGGGATCAAGGCTCAACTCAGAGCAGGGATCAGAGACTGGGGTCCTGCCTGGGATCAAACAATCCTCATTGTCTGCCAGCACTGAAGAGGACTTTCAGGGATTGACTTCCACCTGTTGGAGCCAGTCAGGCTTTGATGAACAAACAGCTCTACACAGATTTTATCCTGCTAAAGACACCAACAACGGGGCAACGAACAACTGAGGCTGGACAAGTGACTCTTCCCAACACCTTTCTGACTCCTGTTGCAAAGGACACAACTTCTGGTGACCAGTGACAGGACTCAGGGAACAGCTGCAGCTGCGGAGGGTCAGGTTGGATCTCAGCCAAAGGTTCTTCCCCCAGAGGGTGGTTGGGCACTGCCCAGGCTCCCCAGGACAGTGGGCACAGCCCCAAGGCTGCCAGAGCTCAGGGAGGGTTTGGCTGATACTCTCAGGGACAGGGTAGGATTGTTGAGGTGTCTGTGCAGGGCCAGGAGTTGGAGTGGATGATCCTTGTGGGTCCTTTCCAACTCAGGGTATTCCATGATTCTCTGTGATTCTGTTCCAGCCATTCACAACCTGCTTGCTGCAATCATTTCCTGAGTGTTTGCTGTCCCTGTGCTGGATCCCTTCAGCCACAAGGCACTGCCAACCTCCTCTTTGAGGACCAAAACACTTTTGGTGCAAATATATATTTACAGGATGATTTCAGAGCTTTCAGCAAGAGCTGACAGCATTCTGTCAACCAGACGTACAATCAACGGTCCACTCAGAAAACAAACAAAATCATAAATGATGCATCAGAAAGAAAAATAAATCCCTTTGATTCTGGTGGTATTTTCCATGTCTTCCTCTCCCCGGACGCCCTCCCTGCTGGTTTTAGCTTTGGATGCTGAAGCAGGGATTGAATTTAGGAAGCAGAGAAGAGCCTCAGGTGGCTGGTGGAGCTCTCCTTGTGCCAGGCTGGCCGTGTGCAGGCTTGGCTGGGTGACAGCTGAAGCAGAGGTTATGATAACACTCTGCACATGGCTATTTTTATCATCATTGATATAGTGCTGCAATTCCACATGCAAAGCTCTGCCACAAGACGCACATGCCAGGGAAACGAGGCCCCTGCTCCAGCAAGAACCGGCCACATCCCACGGCTACACCCCTGCTCCTGAGGAGGGGAACGGCCCAGGGATTTTGAGGAAAAGATCTTGGCATTCCTGCCCACGGCGGGGGGGTTGGAATGAGATGATCTTTAAGGTCCCTTCCAACCTCAGCCTTTCTGTGATTCTCTGATCGGAGTGACGTTGGAGGGAAGGAGCTTGGCAGAAGCTTCAGGAGGATGGAGAAGCAGCCAGACAGGAATTGCAGGGAGTGGAGTAACCAAGATACAAGGCAGAGCCAGGGGATATGGCCATCTGCTGTATTTCGTGGCTAAACTACTCTTATTTGTGGGAGAAGAGCTGGGAGCCTCCCTAGGAGAGATCCTGGAGCAGGAATACCTGCAGGATGGCATCCAATGTCATTCAGCTGGATCTCAAACTCCAGTGTTGGATTTGGCTCTGCTAATGGAGCAAAGATGACTGATGGCCAGGGAACTGTCCCTCTGTCGAGTTATGAACATGGGAATGAACTGAGGGGTTTGCTTGCTTTGGAGGGTTAGTGGTCCTGGGGAAGGGATCAAGGTGGATGACCACAGTGCAGCAATGCCCCATGCCTTGTCCTCCCTGTGCCAGCCTTCCTGAGTTGACCCCAGGACTCAGTAACACACTGGCACTTCCAGTGCTGTGATCAGTCTCAAAGATGAAGGACAAAACCAGCAAAAAAGTTTGAATCACAGAATGGTTTGGGTTGGGAGGGGCCTTAAAGCTCATTTCATTCCAACACCCTGCCATGGGCAGGGAACACCTTCCACTGGACCAGGTTGCTCAAATCCTGGCCCTAAGTTTTGAAACCTTTTAGATTCTGAAGTGGAAGTTGAGTCTTTGCAGCTGCTCCTCCCTCCTGTTCACAACCTCCCCCAGCAGCTGCACTGACCAAACAGCCATTCCTCCCCCATTCCCTGCATCCTGGGGCACCCATGTGGCAGCCTGGGACCACTTTAACATGATGGTCACGTCTGGATGGACACAGGAGAGCTGGAGCCCCCAGCTGTGCTCCCTGGGGCACCTGCACAGCCCTCACTCTTGAGTCACAAGCTGCACTGGAAGCCCTTGGGCTGCCTCTTTATCCCACCATCCTCCTGCATCACTACACCCACAGGTGGGACCAGGACATTTTCCAGGTGTGTAGAGACTGACAGAATGTCCATAACTCTTGTGCCAACTGCTGCCACCAGCTCCAGAGCAGCAGCCAACCAAACTCAGGCTGGGCAACCCAGAGAGGGATGGGCACTGCTGCCTGGCTGCCCACACAGCTGGGGGGAACAGCCCTGGGGTGGCAAATCCATCATGGAATCACATCTCTTTGCTTGGTTTTGCTGCCACAGCCTCTGTGAATCAAACCCTGCTGGGCAGGAGCAAGAGATTGTTGCCTTCCCTCTTGAGCTGAGCCGCAGGGAGAATGGAAAAGGATCCTGTCCCCACCCCCACCACGTCAACCCCAGCATGGAGCAGGCAACCAGGTGGCAACCCCTGAATACAATCCAGGCAAAGCCAAAAAGGGGGTCTTCATGTTTGTACAATGCTTGTGGAAAATAGTCCAACATTCAGTACAGAGACAATCAAAAGAAAAGCCAGTGTTTGCCTTACTGGTGCAGCTTTATCAGAGACATACAGATTTTAAGGCTTAAAATGACCCTCGTTCCTACCTGACTTCCTTATTACCAGAGAATTGGATCAGTGAGCTCAGCTTTTGGCACAGAAACTGCTGCTTCACTGAGGCACCCAATCCAAAGACCTCTGAGATCTCCCAGGGGCCCAAACTGTTCATGAGTTATGACCCACCACTAGTTCACTGGTCTGCTTTTGCCTCATTGCTCAGCCCTGATTCTTCTTGTGCCTCATCCAGTGAAGTGTTACAGGATTATTTTTGAAGACAGAGTCACAGAGGATGTTTTCTGTGCCTGTGTCTTCCCACAGGACAGAGAACACAGAGAAACACAAATCCCTCCACAGGCCATTGAGCAAAACTGGAGGGGCACAAGGCTGCTGGGAAGTAAAGCCCAAGGGATGGTGGGATAAGGGGGAATTTCACACCTTTTACAAAGCCAGGCAGTCCAAAAGATGGAAGGATGGGTGTTGGGGATGGCTGGCACAGCGTCTCTCCCAAAGGACCCCTTCTGCCAAGGACCCTGTTCTGTCCTTGTCCTTTTCTCTACTTTCCAACAGCTCTTTCCCACCCTGCTGCCTCCTCTCACCCTCCTCTTTGCTGCACCACAGGTTTCACTTCCCAGGTTGGTGCCATTGAGGGCATTTTGGGACTCACCTTGTTAGCCAGGGACAGGCAGGGGTTGGGATCCCGGTCTGGCTGTTCCAGCTTGACGATGGTGATGAATCCTGACTCGGTGTGTTCATCCTCACTGGTGTTGCACAGGGACAGCGGGTGGGACTGCAGGACAAAAGCAAAGGAGACTCAGATCTCGGGGCTCAAGCCCACCCTGTAAACCCTCTGGACCCACCCAGAGGTGTAGGACCCCCCTGCACTGGGCATCACCACCCTGCTACATCCCATGGCCCTGCCTGACCCACCGAGGCTCTGAATGCCACAAAAACCAGGTCACTGGCCAAGTTTTGGTTCACAAGGAAAATGTCCCAGAGAAAGGTGGAGTTCCTATCCCAAACTGCACTCAGAGTTGCAGAATGGGTCAGGTTGGAAGGGACCACAGTGGGTCACTGGTCCCACCTCCCTCCTCCAGCAGGGTCATCCCAGAGCACAGGGCACAGGATTGTGTCCAGAGGGGTCTGGAATATCCCCAGGGAGAAGACTCCAGCCTGTTCAGTGCTGCCTTTGGTAGCACCAAGTCTTGGGCATCAAAACAAGAACAGGTCTTACAAAGCCATAAAAGCAAGTTAAAATCATCAAATCCTAAAATCACAGCCTGGGTGGGGCTGGAAGGGACCTTAAAGACCAGCTAGTTCAAATGTCTGGTGCAAATGTCTGTGGCTGTGGGTTTGTATCCAACTCCTAATCATCTCTGTAACTGCTTAAAATAAAAGTGAAAGTGAAGGATTTCAGTGAAAATGAAAATATTTTAAAGTAAAAGTTCGTATCCTTTTGTCAAAACTAGTCTAGTGGAAGGTGTCCCTGGCATGAGGTGGAACTGGATGATCTTTAAGGTCCCTTCCAACCCAAACCATTCTGGGATTCTGTGACTTCAGACTCAAGGACACCAGAGAGAGTGCAATTGTACCAAGCCCAAGCATCATAAACTCTGGAAATCATGCTCACAGGACAAGAGGAGACTCAAAAAAAAAAATCTATGGATGACGTGGAAAAACAAATATTAAGTGATTCCTCAATGCAGAGGACTCGTGCCCCATGGGTGGCCCTGGCTGCAGAGTCAGGATCCCTCTCTCCCTCCTGGTCCCAGGGTTTGCAGATGGGCTCAGGCACTGCAGGAGGGAAGGGTTTTGCAGGAAGAGCATCCCCCCCTCCATGGTGGGTTGGGGACCTCTGCAGCACCCACTGCCACAGCCAAGGGGCCACCTCTCCTGACAGAAGCTTATCTGATCTAGGAGACAAGGGACAGCCAAAATCCAGTCACTGGAGAGAGGGGGTATGTTCATAACCAAAATTAAAGAGGTCTCATGCACGCTGTCTAAATCCCACTGCTGTCCTGATCCCATCCTGATCCCAATCCTGATCCCACTCCTGATGGGCAGAAGGACCTAGATGGGCATTCTGCTGGACCCCACAGTGCTGCTGCAGCTGGGGCTTCCCTGGTGGAAGTCACAGCACTGCTCTCCCAGGACGATCCCTGCCTGGCTCTGCACAGGCTCCTGAGATCCCAGTGGTAGGTCAGGATTAGCTGGCAGGGTTTGGACTCAGTCTTGGCTGATCCAGCCCTGCAGCTCTGGCCCCGGCCCTGCTTCTGAGACACTGTGAATGAGGCCTGTGACCCCCTGGCTTTGTCACTCCATCTGTCACCACATCCTTCCTGTCACCCCCTCAGCAGGGTGCAGAGCTCCTCCCCACCCCTATGTTCTTGCTACCACCTTTTAGTTTTCTTGATTCCTTACCCTATGGCATCTCTATTTTCTACCTTTACTGTCCACCGCTCCTAAAATACTGATTTTCCCTTTTCTAACTTCTCCTTGCCACCTTTCCCACTTTTATTCCCACCAGACCCACTGCCTTCACACCAGCCTGTCCCAGGATCACTCACAGGTTCCACTGAGCAGCAGAAACACAAGGAGAGGTCTTGGGGAACCAGGTACGGAGAGGTGCCAGATCTCCCCTTGGGATCTTCAGGTATAAAACAGCAGAAAAAGAAAGATGACCCTGAGAGGTCACCTCGCCCTCTTTGCTGCCCGAAGGCAGGATCAGCCAGACCTAAAACATTCCTGAGAGACACTTGCTCAACCTGTTTTCAAGACCTCCAGAAAGGGAGACTCCTCACCCACTCCAGGGCTTCCTTCTCCTCCACACTGCAAAGTATGTTCCAACACCTCACTGGAGACAGTTTTGCTCCAGTCTGAGCCTATTAATTCTCACAGAATCAATCATGCCCATAGAAAAGAGATTATTTGTGCTTTCTTTCCCCCAAAGAACCCTTTAAATGTTTCTGTTCACCAAGGAGACCTCAGGGACAAAGGGCTGAAAAAGGACATGGAGAAAGTCCTCAGTTTTCTCTGCAAGGGAACTCAGAGCATTTCCCACCCTTCCTTCATGGGGGATGAGTCAAAATTTGATTTGATCTGAAGTGGCAGGAAAAATGTTATAACCAACCCAAAAGGTTGGCGTGGAAAAGAGAGGAAGAGAACGGGACAAGGGAGTGTTTACCAAAGGGCTCAAGAAAAATCCTGGACTAAACTGGGATAACTCATCACTACATGGACCACAATCCCAGAAAAAATGCAGGTAGCAAATACCAAACTGAATTTGCAGAAGTTGAGGGCGATGCAGGGGATGGGAGACTGATAATCCTGACTTCCCAGCCAAAAAAAAAGAGAGCCAGGTAAAAAACTCAGGATAATGAAGAGAAGGGAAGAACTAACAGGGCTTTGGAAGAGAAGGGTGATGGTTCACAGAGCCACAGGGACACCCCAGTCATCAGATCCTCTTCCCTTGGTCTTCCCCAGATCTCAGCCTGACAGGAGGGGGGAGCCAGAGGGGTTGGGCTCTGCTCCCAGGGAACAAGGGACAGGACAAGGGGAAATGGCCTCAAGCTGTGCCAGGGGAGGGTCAGGTTGGACATCAGGAGGAATTTCTGCATGGAAAGGGTGGTCAGGCACTGGAAGGGGCTGCCCAGGGAGGTGGTGGAGTCCCCATCCCTGGAGGTGTCCAAGGCAGGACTGGAGGTGGCACTCAGTGCTCTGGGCTGGGGGACAGGGTGGGGATGGGGCACAGGGTGGACTCCATGGTCTTGGAGGGCTTTTCCAACCTCAGTGATTCTGTGATTCACGCTGTGTGAATGCCTTTATTCCTGGAAAAGAGAGGCTCTTCCCAGTTTATCTTAACTCTCCATCTCTGTGAGCTGAACAAAGCCCCACGATCAATCCTCTCTACCCCCAGACACAGCAGCAGGAATGACAGGGCACTACCACAGGTACGGGAGATGCTGCCAGGGGGCCAGAGCTGAAAAGTGCTCTGGGACACTGCTGGAGGGACATGGGAGGATGAGGAGGGACAAGGCAGGGAGATGAAGTGGATGTTAACCGTGAAAAAGATGGAAATGGCTGTTTGGAAAAGGAAGAGAATGGCAGAATGTTTCAAGGGGCCCGAGGACAAATTGCCACTTCCATGACTCCTGGGCATGAAGCTTGGGGATCAGGATATGGGGCTTTTTAATGTACCTACATGAAGTTTCAAGAGCTGTTATAAGAGCAAACACACCTTACCCACATGTGAGTCACAGACAAACACGTTCACTGATAACAAATGCATTATTCTTAGAGAGACTCAGGTCCTATCTCAACGTGCAAACAGCTCAGACAACCATCCGAGTCCCCTGAAGGAGTGGCCAGAGGCGGGAGAGGAGACAAAGGACCTACAGGGTGCCAGTGCAATACTCCTGTGCCCGTGCCCTTACATGTGCTCATGAGCTTCACCACCTTTGGCCTGACTCAAGGGTCAGCAGTGCCCGAGGGTTTGATACAACAAATCAGTCCCTAATCAATCAGTGACTGTGTTTCTGCCTCCTTTTCATTACTAAGCTGGTGAGCAACAAAGAGAAGTGCTGAACCCAAGAGAGATGTGCAGGTTTAGATGGTTTAGGTGAAGTCTGGATCTTTTCTGTCGCTCTCTGCAACAGAAAGGGGGAGCTGGGGGGGGGGTTGGGCTCTGCTCTCAGGGAACAAAGGACAGGATGAGGGGAAATGGCCTCAAGCTGTGCCAGGGGAGGGTCAGGTTGGACATCAGGAGGAATTTCTTCACTGAAAGGGCTGTCAGGCATTGGAAGGGGCTGCCCAAGGAGGTGGTGGAGTCCCCATCCCTGGAGGTGTCCAAGGAAGGACTGGAGGTGGCACTCAGAGCTCTGGGCTGGGGGACAAGGTGGGGATGGGGCACAGGGTGGACTTGATGGTCTTGGAAGGCTTTTCCAGCCTGAATGATTCTGTGATTCTATTTGCACAAGCATGGCCATGGGATTGGAGAAACTCTGATACCCACCCCACTTCAGCTCTGCTGAAGTTTGCTCTCTTGTGGGCAGAGAGGTCCCACACAAGAGCAGTGGTGCCACTCCTGCTGGCCCAGGCACCACGAGGGTTGTACGGGCACACAGGAAAATCTTTGGCCAAGTTCCATCACGACGTCTGGTTAAACCGTCTCTGTCTGGTCCACACATCCATTTTGGAGTATCAAAGGCACGGGAGGTTCTCTGGTCAGCCCTGACTCACACCACTAAATGAAAGTAAAGGCAAGCTGGCCCAAGTCACGGGAGAACAGCTCACACTCCTCTGCCTCTGAGCACACTGCAGGCAGTCTGGACTCGAAATCCATGGAGAGCATCCAAGCCATGCTGACCTGTTCACCTCACACACCTCAGAGGACTCAGCCTGTCCCCACTCTGGGAGATGCTGCCACTGAGTGGCACTGACCCTCTTACACGTGGCCCTCTGCTCTGTGCTGACAGCGGTTTGGAGGTTAAAGCTGCTCCACAGGACTCACACAAAGTCTTGTTCCTCAGCAACCCTCAGAGCACTGGTAAAGTCCAAGCTGTACAGACAGCCCAGCAAGCCCAACGCATCCCTCCAACCACTCCAAGCACAAAGCTCTACTGTCCCCTGGCACCAGCTCAGGGGTGGTACAGACATAGGAGGACTTCCACAACTCATCTGTCAAGCAGGAGACAGCTCTGATCCTGAAAGCAGCTCTGCAGTGACAGGCCAGACACAAAGACTCACCCAAACCCAGATCATTGGGGTATTTTTCCTCAATCACAACGGGTT